TTTCATAGCTCATTTTCTTTCACTCCTGCTCCAGAATGTCATGTATGTATTTAGACGGACTGCATTCCACACAGCTCACATGTTTAAACACAGTAAATTCTGCATGTCTGTGCTGTTGATAATCTGTCCACTCGCTCCAGCACAGATGCAATGCTGGTGTGTGTCACGAGTGTGTCTGGGCCTCACCCACCTGCCTCTCTTCTATCACCCACCTATCTCTTCTATCTCTCCATTTCACTTTCTGTCGTATGCATTTAAAATATCTGTAATTTATGGTCGTTTGGACACATCATTTGTTATGATTATTTTAGTCTTTTTTGCCAAGCAGGGCATTGTTATGTTTATGGTAGAGGGAAATCTATTTTATTCTTCTGTCTTTTGCTCAGTTACGTATTCATTGACACACAGTATTAATGACAAATGGCATGTTTCTCAATGCTAAAGGTTTACCATATTTATAATGTCTTAATGTCAGGAATTCACTTGCTAGACATTAAAATAGACCTTTAAGGTCAAGTATTTTTTATTTTGTGCAATGTATGACTTTCCTTATACATCACTTTTTTTTCTAGAAAGTGTCGCACTGTAATTCTCAAGCTAGTAAACTTATGTCAATCATTAATACCTAGTGAATCTTTATCCATGTACTCTTTCTTTCTCTCTCCTTACAGCCAGTAATGTGGGTGCTCACAGGAGGCAGATCTCAGATCTGTTAGATCAGAGCATCCAAGTAAACGCTCAGTGTTTTGTCATCACAGCTGACAACCGCTTCATCCTGCTGTGTGGCTTCTGGGACAAGAGCTTCCGCGTGTACTCCACTGATACAGGTAACCGCACCGACCCCCTCACCACCTCCACGTCCACTGTGACGCCGCCTCCACCGCAGTACACAAAGGAAAGGGTCAAAAGTCACAAATGAGCCTGCAGACTGCATTACAACTCCATCACCCCTGGGCTCAGATAGCTTTCTCATCTCACGGATGCACCATGACTCCATCTCGCGGGAGGAGGAAGATCAGAACACAAACCACGCAAGCGGAACTTGAATTTCAATACAACTTGAATAAAACACTCAAATGCTTCCAGACTCCCAGATATACATGCACACAAACAATACAGTAAGAGAACAGGCAGATAGCTAGATAGATTATACTATAACTATAGTAACTATAGTTGTGCTGCCTCTACTGCCCTGATATCATTGTAAACGCAAAAAAACACACACAACACTAGTCAGCCAACAACACAGAAATCCCATACTTTCAGACAGTATAAAATGTAAAAAAACAGTGGAAGTTACAGATACGTTAGTTCTTGAACAGTGGCTGCTGATGACAGTGTAAATATAGAGGGTTTGGTCCATCAAATACCTCATTCACATCAATTGATGCTGGTAGTGAAGATTCCCTTGGACCAATCGATGATCAGTAATGTGCATGTGTCACATTTTAGTAATGGCATGGTTACTTAAAACCTCACATGAGGTGGTATTAAAAAAGTAACAAATATAAGGTATGTAATGCAGTGGAAAAGGCCCAAAAAGTGAATTTTGCTAAACCAAGCCTAAAAAGTATAGACTATAGAGTGTAAATTGAAAGTCCCTCAAATGCTTACTGTTTCTCTTATGAACATACACAGACTTTAGCATTCACATTCAGCAATCCAAAAGTGCATATTTTTTTCATTCATTTATTTATTTATTCATTCATTCATTCATTAAATTAATTTAAAACCACCAAGGAGCAGACCAAAATGCAAAAGATTAAAACACTAACCACACATAACACATAGTATACAAATCAAGCAGTATAACAACTGCACGTGTAAGGTATTAGGTGACAAAGGCCAAGGAGAAAAGATGAGGCCTGCCTGATGTAAGGAGGTAGGGCATTCCATAGCTTGATGGCAGCCACCGCAAATGCACAGTTTAAAGTGCAGTATGAATTGTGGAGTGCATGAGCTCATCTAGTGTTTGTAATAGGCTCAGTAGAGTCATTCAGTCAATCCCTGCAGGGAGTACAAGAAATTATAAATATATATTTTAAATGTATGTTGCATCTCAAAACATGTATAGTTTGCAATAAGTAGTTTTACTCTATATGTTGTGTTTTTACAGGTAAACTGACACAGATTGTTTTTGGGCATCTTGATGTGGTGACCTGCCTGGCGCGCTCAGAGTCGTATATTGGCGGAGACTGCTACGTTCTCTCTGGCTCCAGAGACGCCACACTACTGCTCTGGTACTGGAACGGCAAGCACAGCAGCATTGGAGAGAGCGCTGGAAGTAAGTTGTTCAGTTTTAGCCACGCTGAAACTTGATCATTCTGCTAGACAACTCCTTTTCTGTGCTACGTCATTAGAGAAAATGATTTCATCAGTGCCTGTGCTCAAAAGAGCTTTGCGCTCCATACAAAAAGGGGTCAAAATCAGGGTAACATTCAGAATCCAAATCCCCAACCAGCGCTTAGCAAAAACACAAAGGGAAAGCTTTCATACAGGTGATGATATCAATGCTATGCAACAGTGTTAAAATCTCATTGTTCATACACAGACACACACACACGCACACACACGTCTGTCAAGGCATGTGAAATTATTTACAGCTCACTCTCAGAAGCTACAACTAGTTTCATCTGACCACAGCAGGTCTCTGCTCAGAAGATTGAGTTTCAGGCTAGTATCACACCATAAATGGAACGGCACTGCCTATGTGTGTGTGTTTGAGTGAAAGTGGAGGCCAGAGGGCCACGGAGGGAGACAGTAAATGTGACTCGGAGGTCTCCCGCTCAGGAGAGTTCAGTCCCATCTATCTGAGAGAGCAAGAGAACACTCAATAAAAGTGAAAAACGCCACGGGCTTCCCCTGCACACCCTAACCATATGGCTGCGCTGCTGATCAAAGCCGTCTGCACACACACTTTCACAAAAACACCCTTCCCTTTTGCTAATTTGGAGTTTTTGGATGCTCTACATGCTGTTAAGTGCTCTTTTACAAATGCGGCAGGATTTATGACTAATCGTGATTTGGGTAATGAGCATCTAAAATAAATATGACTGTACTGTAGTTGGGTGGTTGAAAGTGGCATTAAATAGCCTGAGAGTTCATCTAAAGTCAAATTAAACTCAATCTTTGGATTTGTGTCACTTGTAGAATGATACAAACGTTCAGGTTAAGGGATTCAAGTTTAAAGCTGAAAAAGCTTAAATTAAGGTCTGTCAAGATTACCCAAAGGGAAAATGACTTCTTCATTTGTGATTCTTTATGGAGGTGGTTTTAAACCTTCTTCTGTTGAACACGAAAGATGATCTTTTGTCAGATTGTAGTTGCTGGCCCTCATCGACTTCCACAATAGGAAAAAGTACTATGGAGGTTTGTGGGTGCCGGCTGCCACCAATAGAAGAAAGAAAATCTATTAGGTAAATTATGACAGAATTTTCATTTTTGGGTGAACCATCCCTTTATGGTCACCCATAACTGACCAAACTGTATTAATTGTTGTTATTATTAATTATGATTTTGATAACACATTTAAATTTTACATTTCTATTTATTTTTTTTTATAACTTTTTTAATCTTTAAATGTTTTTTTTTCAGGCCAGACATTTATCTTTCAATTTCTAAATATGTTTGGTGACTAAAATATTATTTTAATAATTATATCTGTTTAATAAATTTTGTTTAAATGCTTCAAAATACATTGCCAATATTCACTGAGAAATGGACAAAAATATTTATTTTTAAAATGGGGTGTATTTAGTTATGCTGAACACGATAGATAGATAGATAGATAGATAGATAGATAGATAGATAGATAGATAGATAGATAGATAGATAGATAGATAGATAGATGGATGGATGGATGGATGGATGGATGGATGGATGGATGGATGGATGGATGGATGGATGGATGGATGGATGGATGGATGGATGGATGGATGGATAGATAGATAGATAGATAGATAGATAGATAGATAGATAGATAGATAGATAGATAGATAAACAGACAGACAGACAGACAGACAGACAGACAGACAGATACAGGGGCGTAGCGAACATTTTAAGAGTGGGGGGACTGATTTAAAGAATTGAACAAAATTCGGTCTTAATTTACTCACCAAACCCATGTGAATACATTTTGAATGGCTTTCATATTATGCATATTCTTAATATGCAAGTCTATGGGGACCAGCAACTCTTTGGTTCTTTCTTTCTTTCTTTCCTTCTTCTCT